AAATTGATCCTGGAAATGGGAATTTTGACCTGAAAATGAACAATTTTCACCTCAAAATCAGTCCCCGAAAATGGGAATTTTGGCCTGAAAATGAACAATTTTTAACCTCAAAATCCGTCCTGGAAATGGGAATTTTGGCCTGAAAATGAACAATTTTTACCTCAAAAATTCGTCCCAGAAATGGGAATTTTGGCCTGAAAATGGAAGATTTTAGGCCTGAAATGAAAAATTTGGGCTTAAAATCAGGAATATTTTCTTTGGGATTCTTTTATATTTGTCATTCCCTGGTTTTGGGATTCTTTTATCTTTGTTATTTCCTATTTTTTTGGATTCTTTAATATTTGTTTTTCCCGTTTTTTTTAGGTGAATCCAACACCAAACTCAGTAAGTCCAAACCCCCCCTGGGATGATTGAAATGGGGAAAAAATCCTCATTTTCAAGGAATTTTGGGCTCTTTTGGGGCCGACCCAGAAATCGAGGAATTTTTATTTAATAACGACAATTTTCCCGCTCTTTTCCCGCCTCATTTTTCCAGAGGAACGCGACAGGAAAATCAGTTAAGTGTCATTTTTTTGTCCTAATCTTGGGGTAAAACCCCCTGGTTTTGGGGCAGGGGGATCCTGGGGAAAAAAGGGGGAAAAAAGGGAATTTCCCCCCAAATTTCAGCCCGAATTTGTGCTTTTTCTGCAGGAAAATAACCCCAAAAATCCCATTTTTTTGCCTCCACAGCCAAACTCGCCGGGGAAGTCCGTGAGTGCTGCTCTTTATTTCCTGTCTCAGCTTATATTTTGTATTTTAATTTTATATTTTGGGCTAAAACCCCTCAGTTTTGGGGCAGTTTTGTCCCTTTTTTCCTGGATTAATCCCTGTTTTCCCTCATCCCACAGGGAGACTCACGGCGCTGGTGGGTGAGGAATCTTTCCTTAATTCCAATTTGGGGTCAATTGTTCATTGTTCCTTGGTAAAATTAGAGATATAAATGGAAAAAAAATAGAAATATAAAAACAGAAAAAAATTAGGAATATAAAATGGAAAAAAATTAGATATATAAAATGGAAAAATATTAGAAATATAAAAATGGAAAAAATTAGAAATATAAAAATGGAAAA